CACACACACACACACACGAGAGAGAGAGAGAGAGAGAGAGAGAGAGAGAGAGAGAGAGAGAGACAGAGAGAGAGAGAGAGAGAGAGAGACAGAGAGACAGAGACAGAGACAGAGACAGAGACAGAGACAGAGACAGACAGACAGAGACAGACAGAGAGAGAGACAGACAGAGAGAGACAGAGAGAGACAGAGACAGAGAGTCAGAGACAGAGAGAGACAGAGAGACAGAAAGAGACAGAGACAGAGACAGAGACAGAGAGAACAGAAAGAGAGACCCAAATCTGTTACAAATCTCTAAGGTACCAATTAAGGTGACATTTGAGATTAATAGTCACAAGTGCACCCTGAGTCAACTCAGCACCCAAACACATCATGGTATGAGAAAAGAGAGGTAACTATGTCCTGACCAGAGCAGTATTGAGTCGGCTTTAGCCATGGTTTGCTTTCTTCTAACTGTCCTTTCAACTTAGTCTTGTCCTTGGTAAGAACTCATACAGCCTGCACAGCTCCGTGAGTAAGCCTGGCATCAGAGCCAACTCAGGAAGAGCCTTAGAGAAGCCTTAGCACATGAAATGCCAGTAATTCACAACTCCTTCGTGTAGATTAACCATTACCAGTATGGGGAGTCTCAGACCTCTTCCTCCTATTCCTTATTCAGTTACATCCTATTCCACTGTATCTAAAATGCAGCAATACTTTCCAGTCCAGTATTTCCCTGCCCTTGACTCCTTTCTCCACTGTACTTGACTACTTCAATGTTCATCAGACCCCGTGTGATAATGATAATTGTCATACACATGGTCTCTGTAAAAGTTTTCACGGTTGGCTATCAGTTGTACTGTGTCGATTCTCTAGTTGTCTCTGCTTTGACATTCCTAATTCATTCTTTCTATCGACAGGGATCTCTCTTCCTTTTCTCTTCCAACTAATTTGTTGAATTGCTAATTTAGTCTATCAAACTTTTGGGTTTCTGAAAGGAGTGAGTGTGTGAGTGTGCACACCATGCATGTGTGTGTATGTGTATGTGTGTTTTTCGTATGATTTTCCGTTCCAGTTATAGAAATGCAATGAATTTTCAATCTGTAAGGCTATTAATCATAATTATCAGCTTAACATT